AGAAGGTGACAGCTAGGAAGCAGGAGTGGATAACTATACTTGAATGCATTAATGCAGACGGTGGTGCTTTACCACCTATGATTATATTCAAGGCAAAGAATACCAATTCAAGTTGGGTTCTAAAGGACACACCTACAAACTAGCACTTCTCAACTAGTAGTAGCGGCTAGTCTTCAAATAGTCATGGATTTGAGTGGTTACAGAAGGTATTTAAGCCTAAGTCACGCAAAAAGTCTGGAAATCACCTACGGATTTTGATTATGGATGGCCATTCTAGTCATATTACTAGCATATGATTGCACTGTGCATTGAGAATGATATCGACCTTCTTATTCTACCTCCTCATTGCTCTCATCTACTCCAGCCACTTGATGTTAGGGTGTATGGACCTCTTAAGCGATTTTATGCTCAGGAAGTGGATCAGTGTACTTGAGTAAGAATAAAGCGAATCTAGCGCTCCCACTAGGTTGAAATCTTCCAGTGTATTCGAGAGAAGGGTCTTATACCTCAAAACATCAGAAGTGGGTGGAGGGCAGCAGGTTTAATACCTTTCTCCTAGAAAGAGTTCTGTCTAATCTTCCGCTTCAACCAACTAAACCACCTTACACTCCTCAAAAGTCAACCAATATTACTACTATAGATCTTTCAATACTCTGCAGTTCTCCCCTAGATGGAGCCAAACTAAGACATGCAAATTCAGTATTTAATTCAAGCATGGTGTAAGGATCGTAAGCCTAAGGGTCTCACGGGAGTCCAGGGAACCAGGTCAGGAGGCAGGAAGGTATCGTATTCTGTAAGCACAATAGGTCTACGTAGATACATCGACTATTGACTGGAGGCCTTCTTCCGAGGCCTCCAACCCCTTTTATCTATGCACCTTGTGCCCTATTTTACCGAGCCTATGGGCCGCTTATGAAAGGGACCTCACGTGGTGGCACGTGATGGCCTTCCTTACACATGGCAACTAGTGATTCTCCTGCTTCACCAACCTGGCGTTATGTCAAGAGAATGACTAGGCTGGTTGAAGTCAGAATGCTAAGCTCACAATCCTTTGGAAGGAGGTGAAAGAGTACAAAGAGATACTTCAGACACGGAAGAAATGAACTAGGGGCAAGAGAATTAAACTACAGGGTGAATTTGTATTTAGTATAGAGGAAGTGTTGAAAATTGTCTATGAGGCAGAGTTAAAGTCGACTGAGAAAAGACCATGTAGAAGGCCATGTAAACGACTAATTAAAGAAGTAGAAGAGGAAGTTGAAGAGGAAGAGGTAGAGAATGACTTAAGCAACTTAGAATTAGAACTAGAGGACTGTGTGGCACGAGGACTAGTGTAATGGTGGGTGCACCAGATGTGAGAATCTAGCCACCCAAGGAAGGAATGATTTTACTAAGACAACACACTGTCTTCGGAAACAGAGCCAAAGGGTTGTAGCTTAGACTATTCCACAACGCAGCAATCAGGTGTATGATGTAGTGGAGTGGTTTAGACAAGTTGTAACAAATGTTGAGTCTGAGAACTCAGGGATAAGTCAGAGGTTAGCACCTCACTGACTTTTCAGAAACAAGTAACAAGATCAATGCTTGGAAGCTTGGAAAAGACGTAGAAGTATGTGATAGTCGATTGATAGGCTGTGGCCCTCTTACGAGGACTAGCCTTAGAATGGATCTCTAAATGGTATGCACACGGAGTACTAGGCATTTAGTATAGATTTATATAGTCAATTAGGTAGCTATTATACTCTTTATTCTACAGAATTAATCACTCTCATTCTCGAGTCATCACGTCGTATGAGAATCGGCGGTACTTCGGCCAGAATTGCCAAGCCAGCCTACGTAGGGGCCCTGGCCGGATCCACCGACAAAACTTTTGAATAACACCTCCGTAGAGCTTCATTGCTCAGTATTGCGATTTAAAATATTATATTCAACTGTAGTTATAACCTTACTGTAATGTAGATTTTTCGTAACAGAAGTGATAGATGTAACAAACGCGGACGGGACTGTCTCCTATATCAAGATAGAAACACAACGCCGACAATATTCTAGCAAGCGCTCTCAATCCATCCTCGTTTGCATTCATGGATTCGTTTATATTATCGTAATCATGGGCAGAGCTGAGCGCCGTGTTTCGGGTATCATATCTGAATACCACACGGCCCCAATCTCTCAGGCCCCATCCTCAGCCTCTTTGTCCTATGCTCTATGCATATCGCTGTGTCAGCGTTTCACCAAACTGCTCCAATGCCATGTGAACATGCCGAACACAACTTGCGTTACACGAGTTCCCACTCTGCCACGCCCGCAAAGCTCATGCCGCTCGTTTTCCTCTGCTCCATGAACTCCCTCTTTGTCATGCCACGTGCGTCTTGCCCGTTCATCGTGTCAATCGCGTAGAGCTTAATTGTCTCTCCCGGGCTGCCCAACTGCCTGTGTGGTATATCCACCCACCAATACGTGTCGTCCCTCTCCAGCGGCACTAAATCCTCTGCATATGCGTGCGTGCCGCCAATTTTAATGGCCAGTAAGTATGGCTTCGCTCCTCCGTGCCTCTCAAAGTCCCAATGCTGACACAATCTTGCGAACTGGAATCGTGTAGAATTTCCATCATTGAGCTCGATATCTTTCAACGCCGGCAGAATAGTCGCCTTATCAATGCCATGGTTTTCCGTGTTATATATCTTCAGAGTCTCTACGCACCGGTGAGGCCCAAGAATATACTCTTCCCAAATCGGCACTCTTCTGTCTGCACGGAAAAAGTGTGCTTTATTAGTCGGGAAATGCTTGAGGCCAAAGTCCTCATTAGTGCCTGTAAATTGCGTGGCTGTAAATGCACGATGGTACTTGTTATCTCCGCCCAGAGCACCAGAGCCCCAGCATGGATCGCAAAGCTTCCATTCCCCGCCATCGATCCGCACCGCGTTCCATGCATGGCCCGTGGGGTTTGCAGGTGGTAGCCGTTGCCCTGGCCCAGTCGCGACATAACCGTATCCTTTACCATGGCCTCCGACGACGAGACACTCTAGCCCAGCACGGACAGCGATGGCGGCAAAGACACCAGCGTAACCTTCGCAGACACCCATACCCTTCCGAATTGTCTCATCGGGGGTCTGGGACTTGACGCGGTTCCCTAGGAAGGCGTCGACGTCGTAGTCTATATTGAGATGGCACCACATGAAGATGGCTCGGGCTTTGTCGGTGTGTGATGTAAAGGGTCCGCATAGGCCATCAGCTAGATAGTCTATGCTATTACCTCTAGGTAGAGACTGGCGTGGATACTTTGCTGCCACTTCATCTGGACCAGAGAAGTCGCGGCAAATCAGACAAACTTCGTCTGAAGAACTAGTAGCTTGCCTGGCTTTGATAGCATCTATCTGCCTCATCGACGGCTTGGAAGAAGACGGGATAGGTGGGGGTACTGAGTCTGTATTTGCGGATGGCCGGCTTGGCATAGGTGGTGGTGCTCCGTCTCTACCTGAGCTTGTGGCAGGTCGTCTTGGCATAGGTGGAGGCGTGTCTTCTTCATCGCGGAATCCTCGTACATTAGACCGTGAGCGTGATGGCAATGCTGGTGCCTGGCTAGGCCGTGATAGTAACGCCGGACGAGCGGATTCGTTCTCGCCTTGACGCGTAATTCGAGGAATGCCTGGGGATGACTGGGTGGCAGTCAATTGTCCCCGAGCAGCTAGCCGTGCCTTTTCTTCCGCTTGTTCTCTCCGCGACGGGGGCAGAACAGGCAAAGGGGCCTCATCCAAGCGCGGCGGCAGTTTCCTTATAGCGTTCGTATCGATAGATGATGCGCTCGATTTGCTGCCACCGTACGAGAAGCCCGATTGTGTAGAATAGTTCGACCTGAACGATTCGTTTGACGCCTTTCGCACAACTAATTGTTCCGAAGGCCGTCTTGCTGGCAGAGCCGGCAAGTTCAGCGATTGTTGTGAGCTCTTCCGCGATGGAAGAGGTGGGGGTTTCTTCAGGTTTCGTTCGGATAGTCGAGGGTTTCGCTCCTTCAACTCCCGATCAAGCGTTGGCGGTGGTAACACGTCTTTTGGCGCTTCAGGCTCGTTGCCGATATTTCTATCAGCTGTTGAAATAGGTGGAACTGTATTGCTTCGAAAGTCGTTCAGAGGGCGGGAGGGCTTCGGGACTGGTGGAGGGGGGGGTCGCTTTCCGACGAGCGCGACGGTGTTGTGCTGACTCGGTGCTGGGCCATTCTGTGAGTGTCCGCTCTGGTCTGCTGCTTGTGACTGCTTCAAGGCAGCAATTCGCTGTGCCAGCGTCTGGAATTGTGGTTCTTCCGCGTCGCCCATCGTAGTTTATGTAGTCGGACTATATTTTGTGGTTCGGTTTCTGAGCGGCGGGGTAGAGGATGGGCTGGTAAACGAGTGTCGTGTTCGTCGAGATGTTGCACACCAAGCCCATGCACTTATGCCAAGGTCTTGTATGCACGTAAATTAAAAAAAAACCGAGTATGAGGACGAAAGAATAAAGAATAGTGGCAGAGATGCGAAGAGGGAAGTATGCCGTCGTTGTTTCTCGCTGCCAAGTATTCATACCAGGGCTAGAGGACTCACTATAGGCAGATAACATTGCTAATACAACAGCGATCCTATCAAACTCAGTTTCCCAACACGCCAGCCCGTACGCTAAATCTATTTATTACCACCCACATTCCTGGCGCCGATGTGCTGTGCCACATATCCACCGCCGACAGCCCAATCCGGGGTTGGGACTGGGCTGGAGTATATGCACATACAATATATTATTTATAGCGGCGATTTGCTAGGAAGGTCATGGTCTCGGTGAGCCAGGTGGGAATTCGGAGGGGAATGAGCTAGCGGATGTTTCATATAATGAGAATATTGGTATAAACCTGCGCCATCACTAGAAATGGAGGATTCAAATCCCTTGTTAAATTTGAGCAAGATCAACCCTTCAAACTAGACCATCCATACACAGCATTTGCCCCCCAAAGATCGACGGCTTCGCCACGGAAATACATATCATTGATCCTCCACAGTCGGACCAAAGAAGAGCGGTCGTTTCTTTCCGAAGAAATCGCAAGGGTTAAACCTCCAGACCGACCGATACTTTCTGGATAGCCAGAAAGCAACTAGATATATCACGAATTGCGGCACTGGAGGGGATTTTTCGCCTCCTTTAAGCCCCCCGTCGAGCGATCCAACGACGAGCGGATATAGCTCGTCCTATAAGCGGTCAGTATAGATCATACTAATGTATTCGACGAGCTTAGCGGAATTCATGCCTTCTTGAAATCCGCGTTCTTTATCACGTTCTGGAACTCCATATAGACCGTGTGCATTTTCTTCCCGTCATACTTGTCCAACGAGGGCAGTGTTGGGATTTCATATGCCAAGTGCAGCGTCAGTTCCGGCGCAAAACCCGTCGATGAGCTGGCGGAATTTGTCGGCTTCGAAGCGCTCCTCGGATTTTGCGTCCAGGCAGTCCTTGACGTATTTCACCCCCAGATGTCGAGGCTTGGAGCGAACTCGTGGTGCTGCACGACGTTGGCAGCCATCATTCCCTCAACACCAGACTCGCGCTCGAAGCCGGGGAATAGGATTTCTTCTTCACACTCATGGTGATGCTAGGAACTGTCAATACAGGGCTTTGTCACCGAGACGGGAGAATCGTACGTGAATCCTATAAAGTCAGAAGCCATTCCGCATCTTTGAGTCGGGGTACCTACCAAAATTTGGCTTATATGAGGAGGTCGCCGCTGTCAGCGTCTGATTTGAGATACGGTGCCTGCAGATACATCGCGTTCAAGGAGGGAATCATGGCATTATGGGCAAGCACCATTTCGTTTGCAATATGGCTCACAGTCGGGTTGACCTTCACGTCCCTCATCACCATAGTTGGTATTAGCTTGAAAGGCTGATCCGCCCATATTTCCGCCATTATGAGAGAGTGGGGGGGTTGCAAAAGAGGGCAGAGGACAGAATAGGAATCAGGTAGAACTAGCGGAGTGAAGAAGATGCCAAACGGAAACTTACATTGCAGACGGGATGCACTTGCCTTAAATATAGATTCGTTAATGGCAATGTTATGGGCGGCTGAGAATAGGATCTACCTAGTTTGAATGCCATAGCGTTCACAGTTGACATTAATTTAAGGAGCAGCTGAAGCTGATCCTTTACATCTCATATAGACCAATAGCGCCGATCGTGAGTAATCAGAGAATACCATTGGTGGCATACCGATACTCCAGCAGGTTTTCTGTAGATGTACGTCAAACTCCTCTGCAAAATTCCATAAAGCATACGAACGCGGGCTTAGCACGGTGAGCTATACCCCAGCAAAGTGCTGAATCCCAAAGGATGATGAGCTTCCAATAGCACGAAGTAAGGAGTGGCAGGCTTGGCAGAAACGAGATTTGACACGCCGGTGGTGATATTTAGTGCTGACATGGTCCATAAAAATACGTGTAAGCTCCAAGCGTCTCACCTCAGACGACGAAATTGGCTTCGTTGGCAAATTCCAAATCATACGGAGCTATCCCTGTCGGTCCATCACCACGATAAGATCCATCGTCAGTGCATGGTATCACGTGGTTTCAGTGACGAAACGACCAAGCTTAAATTAATTTAAATAGTAGGATTAAGCTAACTATACACTGAACTTCCCACCAAAAATTGAGAAATTTACAAGATAATAACTCAACAACAACTTCATCATATATTCTAAAAATGTGTATGTATCCTTATATATACACGTATTAGTTTAAGCTTTAAAGCGATTAGACTAGTAGATATTGAAATATAAAGACCTAGTCTAAATTTCATGCTTAAGCTTAATATCTTAAGAACTACTGAATAGATTATTCCTAAATGATTAGGTACGAATTCAACTAAATAGGAAAGGCTAGAAATACATTTTTAATATATATTATGAAGTTGTTGTTGAGTTATTATCTTGTAAATTTCTCAATTTTAGGTGGGAAGTTCAGTGATCGCTTCGCTTGTGAAATACGTCAACTGTCGAAATAAACCGTTTTGTCTATTTTGTCTTTGCTAAGATTTATATTGGGTTTATATGACCTGAAAGTCTGAAGGAGGGTTGTTTGAAGTTGAAAAACTAATACTAGCTTTCAAGCCGATGGAAAATATTATTATTATTTTAGTTGGGGTTTTAATAAACTATCTTTAATAATTATAGCCCAAGTTACCAATTTATTTTCCTTAGAACTGCGGTGAATATCACCATTATGGACAGCCACCCATGAGACATTTGAACGACATAATTACTGATCATATCACCCAGCTTTACGGCTCGATAGCACTTATCGCCTATGATATCCGAGATATTTGTCAATCAACCTTACTAGAAGAGCCTAGAGGGGCATTATGCGGGGTAAGCTATGGAGACCTCGGCGGCACATCCATAAAGGAGGGGAAATGTGCTAAATTCAACTCTCTTCTACATCATACCATTCTATTTATTATATTCACCACCGAGATCCATAATCACCATGTCTCCTCCATCCGCGACCGGTTTCGATACCACCACAATAGCATTGCAAGACCAAAGCGGAGTCGACACCGCGGTTATAGGCTCTAAATTCCCCACCCCCCGCAAGTTCGACGACAAATTCAAAGAGCGCGAATACCTCAAAGGCCGCCTCATCCTCGCCTACCGCATCTTCGCCAAACTCGGCTACGATGAAGGCGTAGCCGGCCACATCACCCTTCGCGTGCGCCCTCCCCCCTCCACCTCCCCAAAGCCGCAACTAACCGCCCCCAGGACCCCGTAGAGCCGACCTCCTTCTGGGTCAACCCCTTCGGCGTCGCCTGGCCGCTCCTCAAAGCCTCAGACCTCATCCTCGTCAACGCGGCCGGCGAGATCGTCGAAGGCGGCCCCGTCCGCCTCCTCAACAAAGCAGCCTACATGATCCACCACGCGGTCCACACCGCGCGCCCCGAGGTAAACTGCGTCGCGCACTCGCACTCCATCTACGGGCGCACCTTCTGCGCGCTCGGCCGCGAACTCGACATCATCACCCAGGACGCATGCGCCTTCTACAACGACCACGCGCTGTACGACTCGTTCAAAGGTGTGGTGCTCGGTGAGGAGGAGGGGCAGGAGATCGCTGCTGCGCTGGGGGGGAAGAAGGCGGCGCTGCTGCGGAATCATGGGCTGTTAACTTGTGGGATGAGTATTGAGTCGACGGTGTTCTGGTTTACGTCGCTGGAGAGGTGTTGTCATGCGCAGCTGATGGCGGATGCGGCGGCGGGGGGAAGGGGGGGGGTGACGGTCAAGGTTAATGATAAGGAGGCGGAGTTTACGGGGAAGGCGATTGGGACTGAGACTGCTGGGTGGTTTAGTGCGTTGCCGGCTTTTGCTGTTATGGAGAAGGAGGTGGAGGAGGGTTATGATAAATAGTCATTCTAGGAAACGTACAATCAAATATTCTCCATGATAAGATTTAAGGCTAACAGAAATTATTGTTTTCGTTCTATTTGTGAGTAACCGGCGTCTCGGTTGTAGTCCTAAGTGACCGAACACCCTTATTTTAATCACAGCTATTATAATCGGTGGTCTGTCTAGTGAGGAGCTTAAAAGACAAAGCCATACCAAATTTCTCAGGTGAGAATAACCATTTTCAAAGTTTGGTACCTAAGCTAGCTCCCCTGAGTCACCAGGATAGCGCTGTCAAAACCCAAAATTACAACCTCATTCTTCGAGTAGTGTATAAATAATCTTCCCAGCGGCTTCTAACTCCACGTCGTAGCTTCGTCGGCTCTCCATCTTCCCCATTGACTCATCGGGATGGCGCCTGTCAAACTATTAAGTTATACATGTACGTTGCACCAAAATGGAAACTACCTATCACAAATCCGAACGTCTTGCTCAACACAATCTCCAAACCCAGCCTACCGGACCGGCGTCGCCATTCCTCACCCTCCCACTAGAACTCATCCTCCTCACAACAAGCTACCTCCCCATCGAATCAGTGGGATGCTTAAGTCTATGCTGTCACTATCTTTATAGCCTCAAGACAGAGTATCACCTCAAGACAAAGTCTCGCGTCACGATAGATAACCTGCAGCTTCCCAAAGACGCCTTCCTCCATAGTAATGACCGCCTTCCTCCATCTTCTAGAACGAGACCTATCCCTCCACATCGTCTGTCCCACTGCAACAAACTGCACCCCACACCACTCGCCACCTAGTCACAGAGCGACCCCCCCATAACCAGCCAGACCTGATCAACAGAGACTCCCTAGGCTACAGAAGGGCCTCCACCCCGCCCCGCTCCACGTCGACCATCTCCCCAATGGCCATGAAAGCCCACCGCCACGGCCGCGACACCACCAGTCTTCTCCGCCTACTATCGCACAAAGCCACCACTGATTCCCAACAATGCTTCATCGACCTCCACACCTCCGAAGCGCGGATCCGGAACGGCTCCCTCCTCGTCCGCGACACAAGGTCTTGATGCTCCCGGCATCCCTGACAACGCCCTTCTCGCTATCCCGTGCATTCGGCTTCTGTAGCCATGCAAGCTTCATAACATGCTCGATCTGCGTTGGTGTGGGGTCCACATTCCGGAAGTTGGTGAGGTGTGATTTATGTGAATTGAGGAGGGGGTTATATATTGCAAGTACTGCCGCATAGAGATACGGATCGGTTTCAAGAGTTGCGGGAAGGCGGGTAACGCCGTGTTTGTCACGCGCTGGATGGATATCGGCGAGGGAAGGGGTGTCAACGATGCCAAGTGGGGGATTCGAGGGAAGAAGCAGCGATGCGTTGAAGTTTGATTCGCTCGTAACTGAGCAGGACGGGTGGAGTTGTGCGCGGGGTGACCTTTGGTGGCGCCTGAAGATGGGAAAGATCGAGACGATGTGGAACAGACTTTTATAGTAATCGGTCGCTGTTGTCATCATAGCCATCAGCGTCATCATTAGAGGCACTGCCGTTGTATTATATCCGCTACATAGTTCTTATTATTTATAGAGGGGAACCGTTCTTGATAGATAGCAAGATTGTAACTGTTCTTCATAGATAGTAGGATAGAGACTATTATCTACAGATGGCAAGATAGAAACTGTGCTTTGCAAACAGCAGAATAGAAAGCGTTCCCCATAAACAATAGCATAGAAACTATTTTCCACAAACATCATGACAGTTTCTAAACTGATCTTCACAAATAATATTCGCTATACATGTATGTTACCCCTATTTACTTATTTACCCCTATTTACTTATTTACCACTATTTACTTATTTACCCCTATTTACTTATTTACCCCCTCCCCTTCTTTCCCCCGTCCATCATAATCGCTATATATGCATCCATACATGCAGGGTATACTTATCCGCCACCTCCTCACCCAAAACCGCCAGGAGGTTATGCACCCCCCCGCTCCTAAAACGCCAATCATAACATCAAATCACAAAAAGCAGCCCACCCACGTCATTAAGGTCCATCCCATCCTCCCTACTCCTCCGTATCCCTCTCCCAGCCTCCGCATTGGGACTACTGTTATTAGCCCCACCATTCTGAGGACTTGACGGTGCAGATGCCATTTGCACCCCCAACACCGCAGTCCCCCTCCCTTCACCATCTCTGCCACCAAGGCTTTGCATCTCCACCCCCTTCTCCTCCCTCCTCCTAAAACTCCATCCCCTCAACAACACCCCCTCGCTCGCCCTCCTCGCCAACCCCGCCTGCGCCACCTGCGATGCCGTCCGCGGCGCATCCTCCATCAACCCCCCCACATCCTGCAAAAACACCGCCGTGCCCCCCGTATCCGCCGAGTCATCCCGCGGAGCCGCCACAGGGGCCGGAAAGTTATCAAACGGCGAAGCGCTCCGCCACCTCGGCGGCACCATCGTCGACCCCCTCCACGACGGCGTCGGGCCCGCTAAGCTCCCCCTCCGCGAAGGGCCTATGCGTTTATTAGCCGGCGGCGGCGATTCCGGACCAAGCAGGCCGCCGACATCGAAGAAGTTGTACTCTTGGCGCGTCGTAGAGTCGCGCACCGTCTCAACGTCCGACACGTCGCTGCGTCGCTGCGAGGGGAAGCGCCAATTCCTGTCCACGCCTGCGCCGGGCTCTGCGACTGGCGCGGGACGCGCGATAGATGCGCCGCTATCAGGGCGCAGGTCGGCGTCGACGCCGATGCCGAGGCCGCGGACGAGCTCCTCGTCGCTGCCCCAGTATGCCACTGCGCCGGGGCCGTAGCCGCGGCCGCGGCGGGAGGAGAGGGTGCGCTCCATGGAACCTGAGGAGCCGAGTTTGTACTTGTGTTTCTTGACGCCCTTGTCGCGGACGAAGGAGCCGATGACGAGGGCGTTGGCGACGGCGGTGGCGAAGAGGATCTCGATGCTGGCCCAGAGGGAGCGATGGTGTTGAGCGCCCTGGTGATGGATGACGTAGTGGGCGCGGCAGAGGGTGATGCCGATGGGGATAAGGGAGAGGCCGAAGAGGATGGTGAGCATTGTTTTGCGCGGGAGTGGCATGTGGGAGTTGAAGATGAGGGGGATGGGGAAGATGACGAGGAGGAGGTCGGTGGTGACGTTGGCTACGGCCATGGTGATGAGTTGGGCGTAGCCTTGTCGGCATTCGGGGCCGGGGTCGGGGACGACTTGCCAGTAGTGCGTGACGGGGTGGCACTCGGCGAGGTCGGCGATCAGGACGGCAATCATGGTTGCGCCGAGGTAGTAGTACATGAGCCGTAAGACGAGCTCGTGTGTTGAGCGCCAGATGTTTTGTGTGAAGCGCTTCAGGAATTCAGCAATAGAGAGTTTGAGCATCCACAGGCTATAAGTGGGCGGTTAACAAAGCTCTCATGTAATCGCCAAAAAGGCCGATGCGCTGGAGGGGGTTCTGGGGCGAAGATAGACTCAAAATGGAGAGGGAAACTCACGAAGCAGCATAAAATATCCTACTCCCTAGCACCAAGCGGCTGCCTATCTCCCTATGTGAAATATTTTGTTGGCTCAAGCCATCCGTGATCACATTATTCGTGCCCCAGAGCAACACAACATGGACCATGGCCATCCTTGCCAGTATGGGTATAATGCACAGGAAGGCGATGATATCCTCGGGGAACAGCTTCTCAGTCCTGAGATAGCGCCCCGTAACGCGGAAAACGATGATGGTTATGGCGAATATGGTGCACCACCAGCACACAATCAGCGTGGCCTTGTCGTCGTTGAAGGTGCGCGCCGGTGGCGGCGCCGTCCAGAACGCCGTCATGGCCACGGTTTTGGTGGCGGCGTCGGTGTTGTTTGCCCTCCCGCCTCCACCGGGAGACAGGCGGGTGGTGAGGGTGGTCGCAGGAGGTGTTTATGGGGGGCAATGCTCGCGTGAGGGTTCGTGGGAGTGTGTATTTCGCTTTCGTCGAGGAGACTTGGCGGGGGGAAGGGCGCAGGCGGAGAGTCTTTGGCGGCGGCGCCGTTGCAAGGCGGATGGGCGTCGGTGTAGAGCAGTGGCGTCGACGAGGTCGATGGGGGTTCTCGGTGGTGATATTCGAGGGTTAAGGTAGGCATGCGACAGGAGATTGGGGAATGCGAGGAGAGGCGGCACTCCATGCTATTGCATTGCAGTAGGGCACGAGTGAGATGGGCGTCTTTGTTAGTGAGGTTGGGTGGAGTCGGATGGGGGGGAGGCAGGTGGGTCAGCGAGTTATTTGATAGCTCTGGATGGTTGACGGAGGGTAGGAGGGTAGGAGGGAAGGAGGGAAGGAGGGAAGGAGGGAAGGAGGGAAGGAGGGAAGGAGGGAAGGAGGGAAGGAGGGAAGGAGGGAAGGAGGGAAGGAAGGAGGGAAGGAGGGAAGGAGGGAAGGAGGGAAGGAGGCAAGGAGGCAAGGAGGCAAGGAGGCAAGGAGGGAGGGAGGGAAGGAGGGGAATGATAGCACTGGAGGGAAGGAAGTGGGCTGTACCTTGCGAGTAGCGGCAGGGTAGATAAGAGCAGGCGGCGATGTGGAGATGCAAGGGTAGGTTGAGTGGCGGAGGGGGGCGACTCGGGGATGAGGACACAGACAGGACCAGCGATAACGAGGCTTAGGCTGACTTGACACGGGCAAATTTCAAGCGGCGGCATTGTAAAAAGGCCAGTTGCGGTGAGAGAAAATTCGGGTAGCGACTGGTCAAAGGCTGGGCGTAAGATGGTGAGAATGGGGGAAAAGAAGGTTGTACTCCGCACTGGACGGTGGTCCAGTACCATGGTACTGGACCATGGTACTGGACCATGGTAAGTGAGTTTTGAGGGCGGGCGTGGATTGGGAAGTTGAGGGCGGGCGGGCGGGCGTGGGATTGGAAAGTTGAGGGCGGGCGGGCGGGCGTGGATTGGAAAGTTGAGGGCGGGGCGGGCGGGCGTGGATTGGAAAGTTGAGGGCGGGCGGGCGGGCGGGGATTGGAAAGTTAAAGGGTGTGGTTGGGGTTCTTCGGCTAGGGAAGGGTGGGGTAGTTCGGTTGGCGCGGGACTTGGATTGTCGCGTGCGATAATACGCAAAATGAAGTACCGGACCCCACTGTACCATACGTCCTCTACTCTGAATCGCCAGTGGCGAAGGGAATGATGGGATGTGCTGGGAATACGCTGGGAATGATGGGATGTGCTGGGAATACGCTGGGAATGATGGGATGTGCTGGGAATACGCTGGGAATGATGGGATGTGCTGGGAATACGCTGGGAATGATGGGATGTGCTGGGAATACGCTGGGAATGATGGGATGTGCTGGGAATGCGCTGGGAATGATGGGAATGCGCTGGGAATGATGGGGAATGCGCTGGGAATGCCTTGCTTCAGCATCCCCCATCCAGCAACCCTATCCCTATCTAGACCCAATCCCATCCCTATCTCCATCCCTATCCCCATCCAGCAACCCTATCCCATCCCCATCCCCATCCAGCGTCCCCATCCCCATCCCTATCCCTATCCAGCAGTCCCAATCCCTATCCCTATCCCCTCCCCATCCCCATCCCCCATCCCCTCCCCATCCCTATCCCAGCAGTCCCAATCCCTATCCCTATCCCTACCCCCCATCCCCATCCCCATCCCAATCCCTATCCCTATCCCTATCCCTATCCCTATCCCTATCCCTATCCCTATCCCTATCCCTATCCCTATCCCTATCCCCTCCCCATCCAGCGATCCCATCCCTATCCCCATCCCCCCATCCCCACCCCCATCCCCACCCCCATCCCCATCCCATCCCCACCCCCACCCAGCACATCCCTACCACACAGCACCAAGCACACTCGTAATCACCGACCCTGAGACACTTGATACCCCAAAGATACGCCCCGCCAATAAAACACAGCTTCCAGAACGCCCTCATCTCCCTCCCTCCCTAATGTCTTGGAAAAGCCGTGGCATCCATGCCGCACGCGCCACGCGCTCTTCTGCCAAGTCCGTCACCTCAACCCTGCCGATCCATGTGACAGAACCTCAGCAACCAACAGTGCCAGGTGTCGTGTGCACCACCGCCCTCCACCACTCCGGCCCGCACCACTCCACCAGCTGCCGCTGTGTCATCCTCGGTTCATGTGATGATAATCCGCATATCCAGATGGGTGTGTGCCAGTAATCACTACTCCGTACAGTATTATCTCGTCAAGTCCATGTAATTGGTCATGCATAAATATCTCGAGTTATAGTAATATCGAGTTAAAGTGCTGAAGTAGACCCGAAGTAGCCCCTCAGCTAAACCATCCATCCATCCAACGTGCCTTGACCCAAGTCATTGGCCTGTTTGGCCACTAATTGCTTCTCCACGCGCTCTAAAGAGCGCAAAAATGGTGCTGGATCTGTGATGCCACTATTCTCAGATTCTGAGAACTCAATCAGAACTTGGAGGGCTTGTATAGCGTTCTGTGTGGTGAGCACAGGACGCTGGGGCTCCTCATCCCCGTCCTCTTGAGCATCGGAAACCTGTATATATGGAGCCATCGCCTCCTGTAGAATTGTGTCCTCATCTAAGCCTCCCTCCACCTCTTGTATTCCCTCCTCCGCTGGATTCAAAAAGTTCGAAAGGTCCATAGCATCTAATATATGACCAGCTTGTTGTACTTGAGTATATAAGTCGTTTAGAACAGGAAATGGGTGTATAGGAAGCTGTATTGGGCGTAAAAGAATCGTGCTTTTTCGAAAGCAATTGTAGATAGTCGTATTTGTAACGTCATGATGCCATGATCGAATAAGCTAGCGAATTGCAAAGTGTATTGTCATTGTTTTGAGGAGGAGGCGTCGATTCCACTGCAGCGATATGGCCCAAGAAGTTATTCATTGTAAGCAGTATAGAACGTGACGTACCAATATGAGTATAGAAAGCATTTAGCCAATCTGCCATAACAAATTGATTCATCCAGGCCTTCTTATTCCACCTCCAAACCCCACCCATTGCCCCTGTTACGATTATAGCTCACAGCTTGTTATGGTTATTACGGGTGCAGCCTTAGCCACCAAGGCTACAACCGCTAAGCAGGCAACTGTAAGGACACAGGGCACCCAGCTCACAGTAATAGCATATGAGAGTGCGAGTCAGAGGCTAAACGGATGCTATCCTATAGGTCTACTATGAAGGATACAAAAAAGATGAAGGGGGAACCCCGTGAGTCAATTCCCTTAAGTACCCGAAACCCATCTGACTTGGTTAGTGTTGAGGGAAAGAGAATGGGAGCTTTTCCCCAGTGCAATCGTCAGGCTCCCCGATTGGCGCTTGGCATGAGCAGATTGCCTCAGAACTCCGGCGCATTGGGTTTCAGGCCCAAACCCTTCTGTTACTCAGGGCATTTGGGTAGCCCTCCGAAAAGACATAATAATACGTAGGCTCCGTAGGTAGTGTAGTAATTCAATTGATCTATTCATTCTATATACTGTAGTCTATTGTCGAGTTTTCCTGCCCGTTGCGCAAAAGCCCAAAGGTCCGGTCACCAAACACACCGCACGATTTGCGTGCGGTCGCAATATTTCGAGCCTTCCATCAACAGGTTATGAGCCCGGCGACGCTCAGGAAGCCTCGCATTTGAACCAAAGAATTGATTCCGAAGTCTCACATCAATAAAGTGAGAGCCTGAGCTACCATCAGTCCAAAAAAAAAAAGCCCACAAAGTAAGCCATCGACTTGGCTGCGGCAGTTCAGCTCCACAAGCCAGAAAGTGATAACGGCTCACAAAAAATGGAGTCGGAACACATTGAGAGGTCCCGGATCCAGAAGCTGTCTGGTCCGAACTATCGGAATTGGGCCCTCCAGATCCAGATCGAGCTTATCGACAGGAAGGTTTGGAGCACTATCGACGACAAGTTCACGCTCGAATATGAGCTGACAAGCCAAAAAAAGGAAGAAACTGAAGAGGCTGCCGCTACATGCGAAGAACAGCTCGCTTTACTCCGCGACAACAGGGCTAGGAGGATCATCCTAGAAAGTTGCATCCCGTCGATTGTCAACCGGGTTATAGGTCTCTCGACAGCCAGGGTAGTCTGGGAAGCTCAAGAAAATGCACGCCCGCGACGGGCTGCAGCAGATGGACTTGAAAAACGAGGCCTTCGGGAGCTACCTTCCACCAGCGTCTACACCAGTATTTGACATCGCCACGATGCTAAACCAGCTCCAGGATGACATTGCAGCGATAGAGCCAGAAGACAGGCCCTCGGACTCGAGGAAGGTCAGCCGGCTCCTGGCGATTATGAGAAGCCGTGGCAGCAAATATGACATTGCTAGCGCCCAGATCAGGGCGGCAAAAATCACAGATTACCAAGACATCATCGACCAGTTTGTTGATATTGAGGAACAGACCAAGGCTTCAAAGTCGGTCACCGAATCTGCCCGGCAAGCCTCTACTGATACTGGAAGTACAAGGGGCAAAGGGGGTGGACGGGGCAGCGGAGGCAAGCAAGTCCTCTCAGAAAGACACCCGTACGTGCTATCACTGCGGGAAGTCTGGACATATTCGCCAGGACTGCAACGCGAAGAAGAGAGGAGAGCCAAAGACAGCAGGGCCATCAACTGGACCTTTCACTGCCCCTGGCGGTGGAAAGGGGTTATCACCACCTCTACCGGAGGAGGCAAACACTGCCAGCATCCAAACCGCCCCTGCTACCGCAGTTGACAAACTCTGTGGCGTCGATACCCGATGGGTTAGCGACGTCCAAGCCCAAAGCAAGGCTTGGATTATGGACTCGGGCTGCTCCCGCCATATGACGTACGCCAAAGAGGCATTCGTTGACTATATTGCCCTAGACAAGCCGATTCCGGTCAGATTGGCCAACGGGATGGAAATCCAGGCTGTCGCCGAAGGGACTGTCAGCTTCGAAATAGCTGTCAAGGGCGGCAAACGTCGTATTCAGCTTCACGAAGTGCTGCACGTACCGAAGCTCGCTGGAAGCCTCGTATCGGTCTCCCACCTCCAGGATAGGGGTATCATGACAAGGACAACCAGTGGCGGCAAGATGCTCCTTGAGCTTAGGGGGCAAGTTATCGGTGTAGCCAACCGAATTGGGCGTTCCTACATCCTCGACAGCACCTAGGAAGGCACCGTTACTGCGCTGCGCGCAGTGGCGATGTCACCAAAAGAGGCCATGCTTTGGCATCGGCGCTTCGGACACCTGAGCTCAAGGAGTCTGGGCTTGGCTCACACAGCAGTCGACAGTCTGCCAGGGCCAATCGGTGACCTCGCTGACCTGTGTGGAGAGTGCCTACTCAATAAGAGTACGCGGGTCATCAATCGGAAGGCATCAGAGCATGCGACGGCCCCCCTTGACAGGATCCACAGTGATATCTGGGGGCCATACCGGACGCCGTCACTCGGCGGAAACAACATCTACTTTGTGACGTTTACAGATGACTACACACGGAAGACTTGGGTCTACGTCATGAAGTCGACAGGGCAGCTACGGGCAATCTTTACGGAGTTTAGGGCTCGCGTTGAGCTTGAGACCAGCCGGAAGATCAAGATAATATGCTGCGATAACGGCAGCAAATATAAGGCCCTTGAAGGGGACCTTGGGAGCTCACAGGGCATCCTGTTCGAGTTTACGACGCCATACATGTCGTACCAGAATGGGGCTTCCGAGCGCCTGAACCGGGCTTTGGTGGCCCTGATAAGGGCGATGCTGGCCTACACGCGCCTACCTAAGAAGCTCTGGGCTGAGGCGGTGATGGCAGCCTCCTATCTACGGAACAGGCTGCCAATCGGGCCTGAGGGAAAATCGCCAGAAGAGGCGTACAGTGGCAAGAAGCCGTCTGTAGCACACCTTCGAGTCTGGGGATGCGTCGCATACGCAAACCTCTTGAAGGAACAGAGGGACGGTGACAAGCTCGCGCCTAACGCAATACAGACTGCACTGGTTGGCTATATGACAACCTCAAAACAGTACCGATTGTACGACCCAGTTGGCGATCGAATTATAATCGCGACCTCAGTGAGGTTTGTCGAAGATCAATGACTTAATCTTGACAATTCTAACGAGGGGCCAATTGAGGATGTGGGGTTTGACCCCATGGAGGCCTACCTCGAGAGAGAGCCTTCTATAGAGCCTGCTGATCGCTGAAGCCATCAGAACAGTACCCTAATAGGGGGCCTGCATGATGCTAACGATGATATTCTGGTCGGTGTTTTGCCTGATCAGGAAACGCCACCCCCCGAATTAACACTAGAACTACGACATCAGATTGGTGACGGCCAGTGCGACGATAGGCAACACCCCACCCGGGGGGGAACACAGAGCAGTGAAGGGTCACTGCACCCTACAGCGCTGCCGCCACCGATCCAGTCAATAGAGCGGGACGAGGACGAGGATCCTGATGCGGAAAACGACAAATCTGGCAGCCTCCCAGGAGAAGAAGACGACTCTAGCTCTGCGACCAACCAACTCCTCGCGGAAGTGGATGCTCTTGAGGAAAGCCCTCCCGCTGAGGATTTCAGCGTCCGGCGAAGCGGTAGAGAGCAACGACTAACGAGGCCATTTGAGGAGGCGTTTGAGGCGTCGTACGCCGTACCCGCCAAACTGTCAGTCCCGGACAAATATCCGGAGGCTGTCAATGATCCAGAACATGGTGCAGACTGGACTCTCGCTGTCCAGGAAGAGCTCGCACAGCTCCAGTCACTCGGGACTTGGGAGCGCGCGAAGCTACCGAAAGGAAAGAGAGTTCTGGGTTGCCGCTGGGTGTTCAATGTCAAATACACGCCCACTGGCCTTCTTGACCGATTCAAGGCAACGGGCTGAGTCTCTTCGACTCCTCCTGGCGATTGGAGCCTACGAGGACATGGATATTCGGCAAATCGATGTTGTAAGCGCGTATCCATGCTCAGACCTACATGCGGAGGTCTATATGAGGCCTCCTGAAGGTTTATATTGTCCGGAGGGCTACGTCCTATGGCATTTGGGTAGGCCCTCTGAAAAGACATAAATAATACGTAGGCTCCATAGGTAGTGTAGTAATTCAATTGATCTATTCATTCTATATACTGTAGTCTATTGTCGAGTTTTCCTGCCCGTTGCGCAAAAGCCCAAAGGTCCGGTCACCAAACACACCGCACGATTTGCGTGCGGTCGCAATATTTCGAGCCTTCCATCAACAGTTAGCCCACCCCAATAATCACACGTGACCAGGGGGAACCTCGTGAGTCATTTCCCTCAAGTACCCGAAACCCATCCGACTCGGTTAGCCCGCCCAAATGATCACACGTGATCCGCAGCTACTCAGAGTCTGCTCCTTAGAGTGAGAGACGAGAAGGCATCCTTACAACAACTGTATATTACGAGGAATAGCCTCACCTTCCTTCTTCTTCTTCTTCTCTCTTGATTCAATCTAGCTTACTTTACCAGACTGGCACCATGACCTCCATGACCATCGTAACATAAGATTGAATCTCACCCTACAACCATATCCTAAAGTCGATTCCAGAACACCACAGAACACACCAGAACACCACAGAACACCACAGACTTCATAGATCAGACCTTTCACAGTGCTCCCTCGACAAGGAATATAGCTGTGAGGGAAGTGCGCTCCTTTTGAGTGGCTCATACAGTCGACAAACTGCGCAATAGGGCCTTTGGCGATATGAGTCTGATCTACTGAATACGAAAGAATAGCAAAGCTGCTATGGCACACATGGCCAAAGAAAAAGCCAAGATGGCTGACCAAAACCCAGAAGACTATGAGTCTATAAATGAGAAAACAACCTTAGCAGATGAGTCTGAGAAGAGGAGCACTCGAGCAGTGGCTCGATCTATATACAGCTATGTTGTTGTGGAGTGAATTCTCTTTAGCAAGACCAGTTCTGAGAATTCACTCCACAACTGAAAACTTCGCTCCAACCCCGGAAAGCTCCCCACACCCCTGAACCCCCACTCGAGCTGCAAGGCGCACTTGATATCGTAACACTCAAAGCCCAAGAAGATTTCAAGAGGATGGGCAAAACAGCTCAAGAAAGACACCAGTCTATACTATCAAACGGCCACCAGATGAGTGTAATGGTGGGTGCACCAGATGTGAGAATCTAGCCACCCAAGGAAGGGATGATTTTACTAAGACAACACACTGTCTTAGGAAACAGAGCCAAAGGGTTGTAGCTTAGACTATTCCACAACGCAGCAATCAGGTGTATGATGTAGTGAAGTGGTTTAGACAAGTTGTAACAAATGTTGAGTCTGAGAACTCAGGGGTAAGTCAGAGGTTAGCACCTCACTGACTTTTCAGAAACAAAGAATAACAAGATTAATGCTTGGAAGCTTGTAAAAGACATGGAAGTATGTGATAGTCGATTTACTGTATTGTCTGCTTGCCTTTTGCAAGCCTATCTCAGCGGTTCGATTACATATCGATGCTAGTCGAGGGCTGGTAACGAATCAAACAGTCCACAGATTATCAAGCCGTCCGAGGTTTTGCTGTGAAACCAACTACTTTGCCAGATTCTCCCCGGGTCACCAAGTTAACATTCACCGTTTCGAAATCCACATTTCGTAACGTAGCCGAAGACAAGCTTTCCGATCCGGCCGCGCCCCTGCTCCGGGAAGTGAGGCAGGGTAGCCTCCAGTACCGAGTTCATTGTGGGAGGACGAATAAGGGCACCCGGATGAAGCCCACTGGTTTTATTGCCACTGATACGGAGTGGCCACCTACGATACTTATCGACATGAACGACTCTGCCATCATAATCCAGCGGAAAGGAAGCTATGGCCATTCAAGGGATCAGCCCGTGGATATCACACCCCACGTTTTCAGTTATGGTCCGGCGAAGAAGAACTCGCTCGCAATCACGGTATTGAATGCACCGGGGGCGAGAAATGGTATCCCCTATTCAATTGCAATTGAAGTAGTGGAAGTCTTCCAACATCAGCAAATTGTGGACATGTGCTTGAAAACGCAGAGGATAACCGCTAAGGACGTGATTGAAGATATCAGACTCAAATTATCTGAACGAAACGTTGACGAGGACGATGACGTCGCATTAGTCTCGGCAAAGCTGACAATTGCCCTCAGAGACCCCTTAACAGCAAGCATCTTCACCACCCTAGTCAGAGACGTCCAATGTCGCCATCGCGAATGCTTCGATCTCGAAACATTCCTCATGTCGCGGAGCAACAAGCAAGAATTCACCTGCATGCCTGACGCATGGCCGCTATGCAGTGGCGATACGAGACCGCGCCTTCTGCGCGTCGACGAATTTCTGGTGTCGGTTAGGGAGAAGCTGGAGGAGGATGGGGACCTAGAAGTTAAGGCTATCCTGGTCGCAGAGGATGGGTCGTGGACGGCAAAACCAGAGGCGCTCCCTGCTGAGAGAAGTAAGTCGTGGGGGAGTTCTGGGAGTGTGAGTCGTAGGGGCTGTGATTATAGCTCGCCGGCGGTGTCGTCGAGGCAAGCCCCAGGCCTGCGGTCAAGTCCGACTTTAACGTCCGTGATGGCAGTGTCGGCAGCATGTGTTCTCAGAATGGCTTTGAGATGACCGGGTCCATCACCCCAACTCTTCTCGCGAAGCACCACCTTCCCAAGATCCTTCTGAACAATGGCCCTCTCGACATTCGCCACATTATAGGATACCTTACCATCTCCATTCCTGAATTCTCCAGCATCCAGCCAGCCAACCAGCCAAGGCTCGACGACTGGTAGTCGGAGCGTTGGAAGGGTGTGGAGGTGGCGACAGAAGCGGACTGAACGGGGACGTCAAGTTCGAGAAGGTAGGGTGGGAAAGATGGGGCGCGTGAATGTCATGACCGATAACGAAGACTGGGCCGCTATTGGCGCAGTTGCCCGTCGTTAAGCTTCTTAAAACGGATCAACACCTCTTAGCGCGTAGCTCCTTCAATACTCATGTATATACTGGAGCTGTGCCGATGTGGGACTCTATAACAAGATTAGAGTTATCTCCCGTACCTTCTATGTGCATGCCTTGTGAATATTTCGCCCATTGAATATGGTCGGCAGATCCTGTCGCCTTCGACATCGTGTCGTCCATCCATTCATGAATTTTGACTTCGCTGCGCCGATGATGCCAGCGATTGCGGCGTTTTTGCTGTTGTGTTGCTCGCGATTCACGCCCGCCGGAGCACCCTTCGCGTCGCCGAGGTGACTCTCATAGCCCCCCTCGAGCGCTGGACTCGGCTCCCCTATGTGTCCAGTCAGGACACTCGCCTCGAGCAGACTAGCGACAGCGCTCTCAACCGCTACAGGCGTGTTTACATAATCCGGGTTCGCGCCTGCCCAATCGCCTCCCTCAAACGCAGCGCTGCGATGACGCTGATACTCCGCCTCAGACGCCGCATCCACATCCGCATCCACATCATTCTCAAGATCACCCTCCTGGGTAAGGCGTGAGTGAGGGCAAGTATGACCTCGATGAGTATGGAAAGTCCCTCTCAACCGATCAGTGGACGATTCCGCGTATGATCAACAGGCGTACCACCACGACCTCGATGGCAACAAGAGCGGTTATGGGAAAGCAGCCGCTGCGGCTGTTGGTGGTGGCGCTCTGGGTGTCCTAGCTGCAAATGCGATGGCGCATCATAATCAACACCCCGCCCCCCACCACGAGGACGACTCGCGCTACCTCGACGAAGAAGACGATGATGCGGATGCGGCATACTACGCACACACCTAACACGTCCCCTCACCGCTCAAATACGTGCCCTACAACCAGGAAAAGCGCGGCCTCTCCCCCATCCAGAGCGTCTCCGGCTACACGGGGCGGATGAGCAGGAGCGTCTCCAGAAACAGCGCGATTCGAGAGCGACGATGACGCAGAGTTCGCGCTCGAGAGGATCCCTAGCTTCGACCTCGCTCGATCAGAGTCCTGCCCATAAAGCGGGGTCTGTACGCTCTGATGGCGTGATGAGGGTTGATCCGCGCAATTTCGATTTCAGGGATGTGCGGATGGGGGGATTGACGGACTCGGAGCAAGTCCATCCGACTCACATCCGGCGTCGATCCATTATGATGCAGCATCCCCAACCCGCGCTGCTGTCCCTGCCCCCCATACGGACTCCCACCAAACCCCCTCGCCACATCCAGCACAGGCGTCCCCTCCTTCTCCGCCGCCGCCGACCTCGGCCTCTCCGTCGACGCAGACAAGATAGACGAGCGCGTGATATCCGACGCATTAACAACATCACAGTATTCAGAACTATTGATAATAAACAATGAAAACAAATGAGGATCAGGGGAGGTAAACAGTGTATCATGTCTTTTCCTCTGCCCTTCCTACTCAATTTGAGCCTCCAATTCCGAGTTTATTCTGAGGCGTCACAGAAATTCCCCTGAACTATCTTGGGCTATCCATGTTCGCGGTGTTTGAGCGCTGGGAATCTCAGAATCGTATCGAATAAGGCGATGGCCTAGCTTTGGGAGGTTCTTTAAGAGGAAGGCGGGGTGTCGCATGCCGCAGCACCGCAATGATAGGTGTAAGTTCTCCCGTGCTGATATGACGGTACACAGGTGCTAGGGTTGGGACAACCATTTGTTTCCTTTCTAGTCTTTGGGTAGTACGTGACCGTAACTGTAATAGTCTGTATAAATGAGACATTGATCGATGCCTTTTGAGGAACTTCTAACCCTAACCCTTGGAGATATTCATTTCATCTTTCCTTTCGGACACAAGAGGAGATAAAGCCGGCAGAACCAGGGCCAAGAAAGGGGCCAGGATATATACAAACAAGCCACCGGCTTCCTAATATCGTAGGGCCGTGTCGAAACCAGCCAGGGCTGACTTCGTTGAACACTTGCTTAGTGGACTTTTCCAGGACCTTCGCGCACGGGAGTCTCACTTAAGATCCCACGCACCTCTTAGTATCTGCTGTTGCCAGCCTTTGCGAAATCTCCAGTACATGGCTACCGCCCAAAATAGCTGCTTTGGCCTATATCTTCCTCTTCTTCCCTATCCTCTCTTCTACGCCTCTTAACTCTTCTCTCGTTCGTACCCTTCCCTTTTCCTCCGCTTGAACTAGAGCATCTGCCTCGTTTTTCACAGCTGCTTTCCTACGCTCGAGGCCCCATTCGAGTATATTGTGCATGCATATTCGAATGTTCGACACAGACTCGGCGTCGAGAAAGTGCTTCGCAAGCAGAGCAGTGTGGTACTTTGGGTATTGTGGGAGCGATGGATTCGCAGCGAGCGAGGAAAAGGAAGATTGAAGCGTAGAGTTCGTGTCGGAGAATGTGCTCTCCGAGAAGGAGTTCGGCAGCGCGGCCGCAGAGGCAGGATGTGCGACCGAGTTTAAAGGCGAGGCCTGAGATTCTTCAGCCCAGTGCACGTAGAAGAAGACGATATCAGGTGATATAACACAGGAGAAGGCGATGGCATTGAGATCGGAATCGGGATAATCGTCATCGCGCGCTTGAGTACTGGTTGAGAAAACTCTGGCAGGACTAGTTCGCGGCTGCTCGCCTTCCGCAGTTCTCGTCGCATCCAGATCCATAGGACTGCCGAGCCCAGAATCCAAATCCTCAATCACCCTCGCGCCAGCTCCAGTGTGCATTCCAGGGACCGCTCCAGCTACCTTAATGGCATCTCTCGCCCTCCTTCTCCCCCACACCATTGCAGCTCCCGCCCTCCTCGCCTGGACTTTCGCGTCCAGCAAATTCCCTCGCCAAGCCTTCCATTCCACGACGAAAAACGGGCTCACGATATCCTTCGCGACCTCAAGTCCAGATTGTGACAACAGACGTAGCTCATCGCTCGAGAACTCAGAGCGTTGGAAACCATAGGTGAGGTCTGGAGCAGGATTCTTGAGTCCAAGTTCTGCGGAGGCTTGAGACGAGTGGGAGAGGCGAACAGGTATCGGGACGCTGTTGCTGTGGAAGGGAGCAGAGATGTTCCAATCCAGGCCATCAGTCTCGAAGCTCTGGCTCATGACCTCAGGAGCAGCTTCATCGCTGCATGCTGCCAGGCCTTGGAGGTCGAGCTCGTCCTCACCTTGTCGACTGGCACTGCGTTTTTCCTTGACAAGAAACGGCATCAGGCGTGTAGCGATAGTGGCTTCGTTCCGGGATGCCATCTGCTTCTTTGTGCTCCGGAATTTCTGCACGGAGCCCGGCTTCATACTTGATCTACGTTCTCCATTCACGATTTGTTCTATCCTTTCTCTGAGTTCTGGCCGGAGAGCCAATGCTTCCTCTCCAGCATCTTCGTCGAGTATGTCCGCCCATTGTAACTTCTCTGCTGCTCGGGCAGGATTCAAATTTGAGGTCGAGGATTTGGAGGGAGAGAATTGCGAGTGAGACTTCGATGAGGTTGATTTGGCAGGAGTGAGGGGTTGTGTAGGATTGGAACTCATAGCTTGTATGTTATGCTTCGAGAGACGTGCGACTAGGGGTAGGGAGCGCAGGTCGGAGATATTTGGGAGGGAGAGGGAGCGGCGTAAGAGAGGAAATTTAAATTCGGACTGGGTAATGGATTTGAAGTCTGTGGATTGAAATGTCAGTCAGTCAGCTGATTCTTGCCTCAAATGGTGTATTAGATCATGCATTTAAGTCGTGCATCGCACCACAGTCTCTGAGTGCTCTCACCACTTGAGTTCCAGCAGTCACTTTGCCGACGAGGCTGCGCACAGTAGGACTTGGGCTTCGGCTCAAACTCGGATTCAGCATGAGAGTGAAAGGAGTCAAATCTAGCAGTCCACCGCCATTTCCAGCCAGGACTTGGCGTTGCGGTCGGGGACGCGGCGGACGAGAGAGGCCTGGTATCGAGATCGCGATGTTGCCGCTCCCGCTTCTGCTTCTTGGCTAGAGAGTGCGACGGCGATGCAGCTGCTTGCTTGCGTTTCATTCCGCTCCCTGGGTCGGAGTTGCGATCGATGGACTAGCGACTCGACTCCGTTGCAAGTAGGTCAATGTCGTGTTGCGACCTGAAAATCACATGGACAAGTACTTTGAGCGCGCTGAACTGGAGATGGCAACGCGAGGAGATGTATGTAAGCTAGATAGAGCGTGGTACTTCTAATGAATTACAGTCGTGAGCCAGAGGCAGAGGGCAAGTTTGGTAGTTATGGTTTGTTTTACCAGAGCGTGGTTCGATGATTGAACTACATTGACTTCACGTGACAGTCTAGGCCCCTTGTAGATTGTAGCAAAATTACCGAGCGTTGGGGACCTACAGTCAATTTTGCTTGGCATCCCATGGCCGAAGGAAATATCACTTTGGCACGCCCATGTAATGGCACACGGAATAGGGGCTTACTACGAACACTGCAGCGTGTATAGCAGTAAAGTAGAATCAATTAACTATTCTAACTATATACTGGGTCCTACGTAGTATTTATAGCCCGCTAGTATGGCCGGTCCCTGGATAATTTACATCTGGCACACCAGCGTTGCTGATCGTAATCATCCGGGTAACGTGCCACCGGCCAGCAGGCCATTTCACAACAGGTTCCAGCGGCAAAAGATCGGAAGCCCGGTAGCCGACCAGACACATGAGCTCCCTAGTTCGACGCAAGCGCGAGTGAGACAGGCTCGGGCCGGACGCGCGGGCCGATCACGTACTACCCAGGATGTGGGAAGCCAGCCGGTGGTGATGGCACAATCTTCGGCAATTTTCACGCAACATCAGTCGTATCCCTCAAGCTTTTGCGTACTTCTAATATTCAAGATGCGAGGTCAACTTGCAACCTCCCAGAGTGATATGCCGAAGCTATCAACTGATCTGATCGAGATCTGATGCAATCTGGGTCTGTACCCAAGAGCCTCATAATACGCATAGCTTGTAATCCTCTGTAATTGTGCTGGCGCCATGCCTCAGCAAATGTGTTCTCGAGAGGCTCTTGTCAAGTGTGCGTTGTCAGTGCAGATAAGGTCTCAGCGCGACTTCCAATGGGGCAATATCCCCTGACTATGTAGTATTTCCCAATTGGGCAATGGGTTACCTCGTACGCTACAAGGACTACTCCCTATCTGAGGACACATGGTAACCAGCGGAGAACCTCACAAACGCGTGATGATACGTCGCAGAGCAAAAACAGAAAGCACAAATGCTGCCACGCCTGTCCCCAACGTCAATTCTCTCATACTTGGCGTTCGGCAAGGTGGGAGGTATTCCTTTCAAGTGAATGAGGAGTATGCCCCCAGTATCCATGCATTACTGGTATAAGCCACGGATGTGATGTGCCTGGACCGCGTCCAGCTTGAGGCTCCTTGAGATTGGTGCGTAGAAGACGCGCCGGTTCAACATGCCACCAAGCTTTTTGGCCAATGAATAGAACATTTGCATCGCCAGAGGTTTGAGAACGACAACCCTGACAAGCTGTGTTCTGTCTGCGAGAGCTACTGCAGCCATGGGAACGATGACGGACGACTTGCCCGAACAGTTGGTCTGTATTTCACGCGGAACAAAAATGAGCCCTCAGTCTTCATCTCCTCCCAACCACTTCCATCGCTAAGCTAACTCTCACTTGGCTCTTCCTCCCATCTTTGCCACTAAAGATTATTCTATTCAGCATATCCCTGCTTCGCTGCGTCCACACTCTGGAGTATAGCCGAGTGGTGTGTCGTCCATGGGCGATCGATTGGCTTGGGCAGGCGATATGGACGTGCTGTATCTGGTCTCAGGACTGCTAAGCTGGGGTTTTCATACGCCCGCCCCACCCTACAAATGCAATCGATGTTGCCTTCACCGGAAGGAAAGTTGGTCATACCTTGAGTTACAAGAATATAAGTCTACTCAGACAAAGTTAAGATGCCACCCACTAAACTACCCGCGCCGCCTACGGTGAAGCATCCATTGTTACTAAGCCAACCAGCAAATGGCTCAGATCTAAAATTGGTTTCACATTTTCGACTATGATAGGCATTGGCTACAAGTCCACAGAAGGAGGCACAGGGCTGAGGGACATCACAGACAACATTAAGAAGGAGATTTTATATAGCACAATGTTGGAAAGAGAATATGATAACGAGTAATCGAACAAATTATATTAGCGTGTTCCGTTACCGTTGCTGGGTGTGCCGTGAACAGAGAAAGTTCGTGCAGGTCATGACGAAATAGGGCCAATAGATGCGGCACCCGCAGGTCACACATAGAAGATACGTATAGTGAGATGGCGAGGTATTTCAATTGTTTTAGGAGCGGGTGAAGTGACGAGAAATAATATGCATACAACAGGCCATTAGTTGCACCAAACCACCCACCAGCTGTGTTGGACTCCACGCTGTTCCCAAAGACTTCATGTGTGTTCTCGTCACGGCCCAGTGCGTACTTGGTTCGGGCCAGTGTGGGGAATAATATGATATCATGATATATTGTCAGAATTATGGTATATGATATTGTCACCATATTACATCTTGCGATATTGTATCACGCCATATATCATGATATTAATATGGTGATATAGCAATATATTACAATACTAACAATATACCTTGCTGTCATCTACTCTCGACCCGTCGTCACTAATTCAATTATCTACCCAAGCTGTGCCTCCTCCCCTGTACCAGGATTTTAGGCACTTTAATGCCTCAACTGACACAACTCCAAGCCTATTCCTCCTTTCAGTAATTGTGAGAAGCGGCACTGGAAAATAGGCGTTCAGGCTCAGCAGACATCGCTGGTATTGACAGTATGTCTAATGCCATCACCGCCAGGTTGGGATAGGTTGCACGCTGTGCTGGCTCCATCCACCAGGACTTTGGGTCAACTTCTGGTGTAATACCTGCCAGGCAGTACTTGATATACTCATCAATAACTGGTGGCTGCCGCCTCTTCTGCTCAAGCCAGATTTGATGCTCAGTCTTCTCCTGTACTAGCTCATTTGATGGCATTACTAGTTGAGGTGTTGGCTTGTATTGCTCGTCCCAAAATAGCTGCATAGATGCCTTTGCTGTTACTATCCAATTGCTCTCCCAGTTGTCTTCAATCCAAGTCCATTTTTGAAAGGGTACTAATACCATGGCTGCAATATAAGCTGGAGATCGTTCAGTCAGGCTATAGTACTTGTCTAACTTAGACCAGGCTGAATTGATACAAGGGCTAATATGAGAATCGTTGATATACTCAAGTTTGCCAAGTTCAAGCTGCTCAAGTAGAAATTCCATTGTTGAGAGAATATGCTCAATTGTTTGCCCTTTGGCCCTCTGTTGCTAGTGTTGCTTGATGAAAGAACTTAAGAAAGTGGTGGATATTGTTAGTACGACCCAGTCCTCATGGGAGAGCCAATCAGCCTCAATATCCTTTCCAGTTTGATGGCAGAATAGGTCAATTGCCAAGTGTATACGCTCTTGGATAGCGCAGTCGATCATAGCATACCAGGAGTTCCATCGAGTCTTGTTATCCCTGACTAGACGCTTGCCAGAACTGAGCTTGACAAAGGCAGCAATTCATTGTGGAGATCTTTGAACATATACTACAATATTATAAAGCTTTCCAAGAGGACCTTTCTGATGCCAGCTCTCCATTTCAAGCTCAGAAGGAGTATCAGAACTGCCTTGATTGTTCTCTTGTGATAGGGCTTCTTCTTCAGTTGAAAAGAGAAAGGCCTGAGCAGTTAAATTGATAATATGACCATTACAACGAAGTCGGTGGTGAATTGGATTGTATTCAATTTGATACTGTTCCTGTAGTACTAAACAATATAGTTAGTTATTGGTAATAACTATTTCTAAGAGGAATAACTTGCAGGAAGAAAGCGCTCTCATCATAGTTTCATTGTTCTCAGCATTGTCCATCATAAAATAGCCAACCTTCGAGGCAATTCCATACTCCTCAATAATTCTCATAATTAGTCTTGCCTGATTATCACCAGTATTTCGTCCTTCCAATTCTCTCAAAGCTAGAACTGACTGTCGGAGGTCTCCATTATCTGCAAAGTAGTGACCAATTATACCGAGAAGTGCTTTAGAGTTGGTAGAGGTCCATAGATCAACTGTGAAATGAATCTTAGACTGCGCAGATTGAAGACCTTGTTGTATACGTTGCCTCTCCGATTCGTAGGCTGTGAGGGTCCAATTTTTGATAGTGTGGTGGTCTGTAGGCAGCCAGAAATTGATGCTGGGATTTAGGAAGAAGAGAAGGTCTCTAAATTCTGAATACTCTACCATTAGAAATGGAACTGAACAACAGGAGATCCATCGTACAAATAGCTGTTCGAGTGTTGCTGGGTTGATAGTAGTAGTAGAAGAATCTAGACATTGACACTTTTTCTGGTTCTCTTCTCCATGTCGAAAGGCAGATGCAATACTAAGTTGTTGAGAGATGGCACGTTGCTCTTTCTCCTCATCTGTGATGTTATGCTCTGTTTGTAGATGTCGTGCAATAAATGCTGTACCTCCAGATTCTCTATACTCTCGTGGGCAGTATTGACATCGCCAGTAGACATATTTGCCTTGAGTATATATAGTATTTACTGGACCAGGCATATGCTTCCAAACAAATGATGTACAAGGCTGTTTCTTACTTCTAATTGACTCTTCGACTGGGTGGATTGTTGAGTTGCAGAGGCAGGTATTGAGACGTGAGATTCAACAAACATATCAGGATCTAACATTGAGGGAATAGTTGATTCTGGTCCTAGTGAGGCCATATTGCGTTGGTAATAACTAAGGAGATAATTGATAGAGATGGTGGGAGTGGATTTGATACTGAAAAATCAAAAGCAAATATCCGGAAATTGAAGAAAAAAAAGCAATATTAATACTGTGATATTATGATACATATCATGATATTCAGCTCTAATATTATATCACATGATATTTACATACCTTAATCGTGGGGGGAAGCGGGTGCGTCCACTCGCTTATGAGAGGAAGCAAGTGCGTCCTCTCAACTTGCATATGTTCACCGCTACTCTTTACCAAAACCTCGAACATTCCTACACATAGTAATTTATATAGTAATCAAATGTAATTCATATAATGGAAGGGACACCTCTATCAAATGCCTGTGAATGGCTGGCAGCAAACCCCTCTGAATCTATAGGTGCTGCCAGTCGGATTTTTAAGGTCCCAAAGTCGACTATACAGTCAAGAATCACCCGAGCAGTCCCACGGAAGCTGCCCCATGGAGGTCACAATAGGGTGCTTTCTATAGACCAAACGGAGGCCCTAAAGACCTGGATTCTAGAGCAGTATTACCTAGGATTAGGGGCTAATAGGCATATGGTTTATGGGGCAGTATGCCACCTACGGAGCCCACTGCCTCCACCGTCACAGAGCTGGCTCACTAAATATATACGGAATGAGCTTATGGATTTCCACTTTATCACTACAAAGCCTATTGCGCAACAGCGTACGCAAGCTCAAGAGGAACCTGCTATTGTTAAGTGGTTTGAAAAGTACACGGAATTTGTACTACAGCATGGTATAAATCCAGAGTCAATCTGGAATATGGATGAAACTGGATTTAGGGTTGGAATTCCAGGGGGTGAGAGAGTTATGGTCCCCCGAGCTGTAAAGCAGCTCTATACTCTGAGCCCTGAGAATCATATATCTATTACGATCATAGAGGCAGTATCTGCAGCTGGACAGAAGATTGCACCTGTACTTGTTGTACCGGGTAAAATCCATATGGCAGCATGGTACCCTGAAAACCTCAGTGGAAATGAGCTGATATTGCTCTCGGAGACTGGCTATTCTAATAGCCAGCTTGCTCTACGGTGGTTACAGCACTTCATAGAGCTTACTGCTCCACACAACCCAGGAAATCCCAAGGTTCTACTACTCGATTCTTATGTGAGCCACACAAGCCCTGAGTTCGTCATTATGGCAGCCGAATATCTGGGCGTTTCCCAGCCACCTTACACACGTTTTACAGCCATTAGACGTGGGAATATTCCAGCCTTATAAGCACTGGCATAGGCAGGCTGTGCTCCGTGCTATACGGGAAGTGGACATCACCTATAACCTACCCCGATTTATGATAGATCTCCCACAAATGCAGGAGCAGACTTTTAAGAAATCTACCATACAATCAGCATTCTGGAAAGCTGGAATCTGGCCTATAAGCTGTAATACAGCCCTTGAGAAGCTGCGTACGTACTC